ACAAAGCCAACAACAACATATACTGGGGAAAGGAAGCCCTGTTCAATAAATGGTGCCGGAAAAACTGGATAGCCTCATGCAGAAGAATGAAACAGGACCCCTATCTCTCACTATGTACCAAAATTAATTCAAGATGGATAAGACTTAACTACAAGGCATAAAACCATAAAAATTCTAGAAGAAAATGTAGGGAAAACTCTTTTAGATATCAACCTAGGTAAAGAATTTATGACTAAGATCCCAAAGGCAAATACAGCAACAATAAAAATAAATGGGACTTAATCAGAAATCCTCCATAACTGAATTTTCCCTTCATATTTTCAAGCTTGTCTCTTTGTGCTCATCTGTATAATTTTTTCTGATGTGTCTGCTTATTCATTCATTCTCTCTAGTCACATGCAATCTGTTCTTTAGCTCATCCATTGAGTTTTTAAAGTCAAAAATTTTTATTTTCCTTTTTAGAAGTTCCATTTCTTTCTTTCGGATATCTGCTTGTTTAGTACTGATAATGTCTAGTTACTTGTCATCATTAATATTTCACTTTTCTTTTTCTTTCTTTCTTTTTTTTTGAGACAGAGTCTCGCTTTGTTGCCCAGGCTAGAGTGAGTGCCGTGGCGTCAGCCTCGCTCACAGCAACCTCCAACTCCTGGGCTCAAGCAATCCTTCTGCCTCAGCCTCCCAAGTAGCTGGGACTACAGGCAATGTGCCACCATGCCTGGCTAATTTTTTCTATATATATTAGTTGGCCAATTAATTTCTTTCTATTTATAGTAGAGATGGGGTCTCACTCTTGCTCAGGCTGGTTTCAAACTCCTGATCTTGAGCAATCCGCCTGCCTCGGCCTCCCAGAGAGCTAGGATTACAGGCGTGAGCCACCCCACCTGGCCAATATTTCACTTTTCATTTCTTTAAATGTTTCTTAAGTACCTGTTATGATCAGACACTTGACAGTTGTAATAGCAGCAGTGTTGGGAGGTCTAGTTCTGTTGCTGGTTGTTTCTGCTGACTCTCACTCCCAGGGTTTGCCTCCTCATGTGTTGAGTGTGAGCTCTTGGCTTGATCTGCTGGAATCGTGAAAGTCTAAAGCAGTGCTTTCACATGGAGAGGGGGGTTGTTGGATTCTACTGTAAGTCAAGGGTCTCATAGACTTGAAATCACAAGTTGGGGGTTTCCAAGACCATCCCCAGGTGAAGTGATTTGCTAGAACTCACAGGACTCAGTAGATAGTTGTACTCATGCATGTGATTTATTATAGTAACAGGACACAAAGCAAAATCAGCAAAGAAAAAACAAGCATCGGATCTGGAAGAAACCAGGAGCAAGCTTCCAAGATCTTCTCTTAATGAAGTCACACAGATGCATTTAATTTCTTCAGTAACTGCTTGTAGCAACATGGGTTAAGATGTCAGCCAGGGAAGCTCATTAGAGACTCAGCCAAGGCTGTTATTGGGGGCTGGTCACATAAGCCACTTTCCGTCTAGCATGTACCAGCATTCCAGACTTTCAGAATGAAAGCAGGTGTTCGGCATAAACTGTATGGTTGGTACAAATAGTTTGGGCCCAGTGAGCCACTTTTATTATGTTTGGTAAGAAACTCCCCAATTCCAAGTTCCTAGATGCCAGCCAAGGGCTGACCTTGAATCCTTTCTAAGGAGAGCAGTCTCAGGCTTGCCATGGCAATGCTTCTCTGTACACGTGTGGGCCCCGACCCCACAGGTCCCCACTCGGTGTGAGTCACAGGCTCGGCCCCCCACTTTGTCACTCACTCAAGGCTCATGGTGCTGAGACAATGACACTGGGAGTTTCCACCCTCAGGCCACCAAGCTCTGTCTAGCACACGAGTTCTGTTGGCTCCTTGGGGATGGATGAGTTGAGTGGGAGCTTGGAAAACTCCCTCACTCCCCATGAGGGAGTTGGAAGGCTCCCTCATTCCTGGCAATTCATCAAAAAGTGTGTCTTATCAAGAATCTGAGTGCTCCTTGGCACAGAGTACTAGGAAGGTTCCTCAGAGCACCTAATTTATCATGTGTCACAAATTAAAGTCCTTTATATTTGTTTTTAAAAGAATTTTTAAAACTCTCAAGGATAATTCTTAACGTCAGTTGTCCAGACTGAAAAATAAACCTGAAAGTTGGGAGGTTGTGATCCACTGGGCAGAAAATTTTGAAAGGCATAGAGCACACAGAAAGAAAACTAAGGAGGAGGGTGGGCAGTGAGACAACTGGTTATATTTTTGTGAGCCCCAGGAAATCTATATCTTACTTAAAATAAGACAAATGTAAGAAGAAAAAAAGGGAGTGAAGGAAGCATCAATTATTTAGATGTCCCTGTGGAGGTGGAAGAATATTTGATCTTGTCTTGTTTCTGTTCTGCACCTGGGAAGATAAACTTGTAGTGAACATTATTAGTGTGGACTCAAACAGACTTCAGTTTCAGGAGCTAGATTTAGCCTGCAGATCCAAAGTTAAAATTTGCATGTAAATTAATCCTCAACATTTATACACCTAATATCATGGTGCTAAAATACATGAAGCAAACATCGATAGAACTGAAAGGAGAAAGAGACAAATCAATAATTACAGTCCTTCTTCCCCTACCACTTCTTTCTTCTATTGTCAAAAAGCTATTAAGTAGATCCCTAGGAGGTGGGCAGTCAGCCTGAGTGTGGAAGGCAGGCCCAAGGGGACTGGGGAATTGGTTATTAGAGGAGACTGAAGTAATGGGAACTTGTTTTCTCCCTGTCAGAGAGGGGAGACACAAACATGGAAAAAGAGAGAGCCATAAAATGAACACCGTGGTGTTGAACTGGAATTGAAGCCATCAGTGTGAACCCATGGATTTTAGTTCTTACAAGCACGTGCCCAACACTGAGAGGATGCAAACAGGAGTGCAATAATCCCAAACTTTGCAAGTCTGTTACTGCTAAAAGAAAGGGCAAATCTAAGGTTTTCCAAAACACAATATCTGGTGGCAAATTAAACGGCAGGTTTAAAGCAGAAGATTCAAAAAATTATATTGTTTGTTCCTGGTGCAGTGTGTTCAAGAAACTTTAGGCAGAGGGTCCCAAGAAAGACTAGTTTAGGATACCGGCAAAGGAAAAAAACCCATCAGAAGAGCCAAGTGTGAGCCCAAGGTATGGAGAGTTGGCATTTATCAATCCAGAATGAATCTCTCTCCTTCTAATTCCTTATTTTCCAGTAAGCTTGGTGATGTTAATTTGAAATATCTACAGGTCAGCCCTTGACTTTACAGAGAAAGCTAATACATTTAATAATAACAAAAAGGAATATATCCCAGTGTTATAGAAGAGCCTCAAGAATGAAAAGACAAACTACAATGTTGAAGTCTTGAAGTCATAAAACTAGCTTATCAGTCACTAAGCTGAAATATCAATGCAGGGTGCCTAAAGACTTTCTTTTTAATGTATTTACCCCCATCACCTTAAAAATTAATTTGAATAGTAAAGAAAAAGTAGATAAAAAACTACTAGTGTGAACAGTAACAAAAAAGGTGGCTAAGGAAAGATTGTTCCTATCAGATATTTGTGGTGACCAAATAACTGAAGCTTTAATACAACGTTAATTCTATTATATTAATACAAGCAACCTGGAACTGGGGAAAATTAAATCTTGCTCACACTCTAGGTGGCTATTCATATTACCCACATAGATGGATTTAAATGCTACTAATCATCACTATCAAAGTGCAAAACACACCACTGAGAGCGTGACTCAAAGCAAAATACAGTACAAATTTATTGACTCCGATCATTCTTAGTCGAGATTTAAGCAAAGTAAACAGACAATAGAATTGGATACAAATAAGCAATGGATTAACATTAGACAGAAATCCTATTTTACCATAAATTTTCAGTCCAAAGAGCTTATTCCTAAATAAAATTGAACAATGACTGGCTTACTCTGCTAAGGCATACGATGACAAAATGTACACAATAATAAAACCACTCATTTTTCTTTTAACAATAAGCATATTCAATGAAACGCGTGAAATAACCTTGGATTAATGTCAAAAGAAATGATCACCTTTTGAAAATTAGTATTAACCAAGTATAACTTCATGGAAAATCTGGACAGCACTAACAAATGACTAAAAAGCGCTGAATTCAATTATTTTAAAGATTTACAGTAAAATACTTTGGTTCCCAAAAGACTGTCTCTAAGAAGGAATTTTTAAAACACCTGACATAACTCATTTTTTCCCCCTCCAGAATCTAAACACTGATTTCGTTCTCTCTCCAGTCACATGGAAATTCCGTGAGCTGGAGCATACGCTGAGACTCACCGAAAGAGCATATTACACATTATGAAAACATCAAACTTCTTAAAGTGCTAAAGCCACAAAGAACCACAAAAGAGGAAAACCTGTTTTTAAAAACTTAAAGTTTAGTAGTCAGTGTTAAAGAATACTTATTAAAGGATGTCAGCATTATTTAAATCAATAATGCAGTTCACAATTATTGCAACATCAGTGAGACATCAGAAATCGACAAAGTTACTTGTAACATTCCAGTAAGAGATGGAATTTATACAGAAATCTGTTAGGAATGACACCTAATTATTTATTTTATTAAGAAAATTTACTTTCCTAAAGCTCCAGCCTGCTTCTAAGTTGTATAGCACGCGTGTGAGAACCCACATTGAGGGAGCAAAAGCCAAGTTTAGATCTGCTAATTCTCATCTCTCTCCCTCACCCTGCCTGGCCAGCCGGCCACAGATGCAGCCCCCATCCTCCATGAAAGGACATGTTTCATTCTCGTCTCATAGCGGCTACTCTCATTAGCACCAAAGGGGCTACATGCGGATTTAGATGCTCACTGATCAAGTGCTGGGGCATATTTTTACAAAGAGAAGGCTAGAAATAATCCATTTCAAACCAGAAAACCAAGAACATCAAATTTCCCCACAAATGCAAATAACATCACTGTTGAATTGTTAGTTGTATATTTTGGTATTTATAAATGCACACTAACTAGTTTTACAGGTGAATGGTTTGTTAATCTTGAAATAGTACTATTAAAAATGCACAATATTTGTTACCTCCATTGCTTACTTTGAGTGATAAAAACACATTTTATGTTACTCCCTCTTTCTCCCACATAAACGAAATGATTCAATAACAAGTTCTCAGATTAACAAAGAATATATTAAAACATTTTACATTCTTTCCACAACTGCATAAAAAAGCAGGCATCCTGAATACTTACAAGGAATAATGAGCTTTCTACATTTTCAAAAATTAATTACAATCAGAAAAGATATTTACAAGAATATCTTCACTCAATAAAGAGTTGTGACAATGAAAGACCAACTTGTTTTACACCAAATATTTGCCTGTCTAAGATAAACATTCTTTAAAAACTGCTTAACGAATAAAACAATGTCTTTCATTATTTTACTTCTTAACATTTAAAATAGTTACATGAGTGGAAGCATATTTTATTTTTTTAACCATCAAAATAAACTCTTTCAGCCTAATGCTTTTAAGTTACAGTATAAAAAGTAATAGAAAAACCAGAACTGCATTATAAATGTTTTTGGTTCAAAATTTTATTTGAAATCTTATTTTCCTTGCCTAGACAAAAATGTAAGCTAACGAGACAAAACACCGTAATTTTTTAAATCTAACAGCTATGCAGAGCCTATATTTAGATAAAAAATATTTTTTAATTAACAATATTATCTTAAAAAATCTTGAAAATGTAGCATAAAGATTCAAGTCGTGGGATATTGAATTTACAATGCTAAGATACTTTGTATTGTGGAATTATCACAGATACTCTAACGGCCATGTAGGTGATGATTAGTCAGGGAAACTGTCTTCTTTTGAAGAAGTGACAGCTTACCAAGATGTTCAGTGTAATGCCACACTATACAGGGAATGAGTCCAATGCACAACCATCCATCCTGATGTTTCACGTAAGGTCATATGCTTCAGTTTCATCTTTAAAATGCATAGATTTCTTCAAGAAAACATAAAGATGGCAAGAATCAGTAACTGTAACTTAATCTTATTTTCCTTTGTCCATCAAATCTAAGAACAAAAGAAGTAACTACTAAAATATTTTGGGATTTTTGTTTTCTCGAGTGAAAGAATAAAAGGCAAAATTTCATATATAATTTCTATAATGTACAAAGTCAATTACTATTTTATAAAAATGCTTGTGTTTTAAGAAAAAAGTAAGAATCTTTCCTACCACTGGTATGGAATGCTGGTAAGGAGATTGATGGGCACAGAATTCTTTTCTGCTAGAGCATAAATTTATCTTAATCACAGTTAACTTTTCTTTAATCTGAAAGAACAGCTTGTAAAAAATAAATTATAAACTTGGAGTCTTAATCTGTATTACTACCTTAGAAAAGATTATGTAGTTCTAATAACATTTCTTTTATATGTCTGACCAAGGAAAAATCTTCCCTTTGGAAACACTGCATTGAACTTTGGATAATACCTACTGAAAGGCTTTTAATTACAACTTACACATAATAGAAAAAAAGCCCAAAACCTATGGACCAAAATAAGTAGCTAAAACTAACTTTGGACTGTTGATAGTACTTTCATCCACATTTATGAAATATTAAGCAGTGGCTTAGAGCAGAAAGGCTTCACTAATGACGTTTTAACCACTATAAACTCCAACAAATTCTAACAGAAATTGTCACAAAAGACAGAGAGGCAGGAAAATGTGTATACTGTATATACTGTTCTTGAAAAGCATGTTGAAACTGCAGTGTGGTATTTCCTCCTCTGCTCTGAAAGTAAATGGCGATTTAGAATTTTAGACTGGCTGTGCTGACTCCAAGTGTTTGGGATCTATCTAAATATTAATATGTATCCTACCTTATTTGTTATACTAATGTTAAATTCAAAATTAGTGCCATGTTAGGTATTTAGTCACAACTACACTCAGATTTTCAATTTGTGACAGCATAAATCAGAGGACATCAAACGTGTACAATCTTTAAACGCTGGTCTGAACTGAACTGCGAGGCAGGCAGTGCACACAGAGCACTTCATCACCCACACCAGTACGCAAGCTCTAGTAAACTGACTTCAGGGGACTGCCATAAATCATGTTCTCATCTTCCAAGCCTTCCTTAGACTTTAACCATCATTCATTACATTAAGTGACTGAGAAAGAGAGCAGGTTTTTGTTTATAAAAATCTAAGTGTTACTATTGCTGATTTAAATTTCTCACAATTCTCATACAAAAAAAGTCCTACGTGACCACAAAATACCAAATATTCATCAAGTGTCAGGATAACTTATTAAAGTTGAGGTTTATCATTTTTTTATTGCTAAAGTATTCTAAGATCTAAATCAATACTGCAAACTACTCCACTTCTTCCTATTTTGGACTTAAGAACATGGTTAAGATTTTACTAGAACTTAGGTGTCTGAAATAATCAAAAGAAGAAATACTTTGATAGTACCCCACTAATTACAAATCAGTAAAAAAACCGAAAACCTCAATTAAATGATTATGCTGACACCATGGAATGAGGAGAAACCATGCAAACCATGAAGATGAATCCAACCTCAATGCTAATGAGATCAAACTATCTTGTTCCTTGAAGGTCCAAGACCACAATATTTTAAAAAGTTTATTTCTAAAGTTGAGTAAGGACATCACTAGTATCAGTTTATCTCAAACTTAAATTCAAGCATAACAATTTTCAACATTTATTATTCTTTCTTAAAAAATATTTTGTTTCTTATGACACATTTCACAATTCAGGTTGAAATCTGGAGACTGCCCCCCATTTCATAATAGGCTAAAAGTGTTGGTCTTTCAATTGTGTGTTTGTTCATGGCTCCAAAGACTAAATGCAGTCTTGAATGTCCTGTGGCAAAGTTTACACATAAACTGTCTTTTAAATGTGATTGCTGAAAGGGGTGGGGCGTGGTAAAAAAGGGTGTCTGATTCTTGGGGGACGAACAGCTTCTCTGTGGCCGGAGCCGGGTTTTCAGACAAGCCTGTGGGGCTGTCGGGCTCCAGGGGCTGGATCTTGGGCAGCGGTGGCGGCGGGGGCAGGGGCGGCGGGGAGGGCGAGTTTGTGGGAACGGGGCACGCTTCGGATTCTTTATGTGCGGACTCCTCTGTAGTCTGAGACATGTGTGACTGGAAGTGACTCCAGAGCCGAAAGTTAGTGCGGAAAGCTTTGTTGCACACGTGACAGATGAACGGCTTCACGGAGCACAGAAGCTCCTGGTGCCGCTCCAGCTGCTTGTGCACCGTGAACACCTTCCCGCACTTCTCACAGGGCCACAGGCTGGCGTCTTTGCTCGGCCCTGCTTCTCTGGGGGCCGCGCTGGCCTCGGAGGCCTCTTCCTCAGCCTCCTCCACGGGCTCCTCTTTGACCTGGATTTTCAGTTGCTTAGAAAGACTAAGGTCCTCAGGGAGACAAGAGGAATCCTCCGAATCGAAGTTAACTTGCTCTGAAGAGTCACTGAACACATTGTCATCTTTTGTGGTGACAACATGGTTTACTTTATTTGGCTCGGGCTGGGCCTGGGGCCTTGAAGAGCCAGCCGCGTCGCCATTGTGGTCCAGAGCGGGCAGAGAGAGGTTTCCGGCCGGGGCCATGCTGTTCTGGTTGTGGACCTCGACCTGGTGCCGCCAGATGCTGAAGGAGGACTTGAAGGTGCGCATGCACTCCAGGCAGGTCAGCTTCTTATACTCACACTCGTGCTCGTGCTCCTGCTTCAGCTCGGGCGAGAAAAACCTGAGGCTGCAGTAAGGGCAGACGGCGGCGTTCCGGCATAGCCGCTCGTGGCTTCCTTGCTCTAGGAGAGAAGAGAGCTTAGCATTACAGAGGCGGCACTGGTAAACCTCCTTGTTTCCTACTGGACTTGCAAGAGGAGCATGCTCTTTTGGCTTAGCAACTTTATTTACTCCAAGGGGTTTTTCTCCTGGGTGCATTTTTATGTGCTGCTTAAATTGAGAAAGAAAGCGGTATGCTTTTCCACAGTAAGTACAAACGTACGCTCCTTTGGCTCGAGACCGCAAGTTCCTCTTGATGGCTTGCTGTGCCTGGGAACTACTCTGTCCCTGAAAGCCAGGCTTGCCGCGCCTTAACTTAATGATCAGGGCTTTCTTAATCTCTCTCTCTCTCACTATGTCAATCAGCTTTCTTTGGAATTTCTCATCCAAAACAGCATGGGCACTAGAGGCTGGTGATGGGTTCTTCACTATGCCGTGTTGGGTCTGACAATGTGTCCACACTTTGAAGTTGGTGTGAAACCTCTTGTGACAGATGTCACAAGCGTAGGGCTTTTCTGGGTTATGGTACATGTTAGCATGACGGTGAAGACCTGCAGTTGATCTAAAGATCTTAAGGCAATGTTTGCATTTAAATTTTTTGTTTGGTCTCGCCCCCTCCAACTCACCAAATTCGTCTTTATTCAAATCCGAATCTGGGAAATCTGTCTCGAGGACAGTGGGGCTGGAGCCTTCCTCAAAGTTGTCCTCTGACACAGGAGAGCCCTGCTCATTCACCTTTAACTTCTTAAAGGGCAATCTTCTGTCCGCTTGGAACCTCCTTTTTGCTGGGAGTCTGCTCATGTCTTTCTGGTCTTCTGTTTTGAGGGACAGGTCCCTTGTGACTGACGGTGACGAGGTTGCGGCTGCCGCGGCGTCTCCCACAGTGACGCGGATGATGTCTGAGGGGTCCGACAGCGGGCTGCTGGGCTCGGTCTTTATGCGCACCTCTGTCACAGGTGAGGCTCCCTCCCTGTCTGTCGACTGAGAAGCGCTAAAGGACCTGAGGCGACGCGGCTGTAGCACCTGAGGCCTGTCATCTAGGGCTGCTTTTTCACCACCGTCTTTTAAGGATGACTTTTGAGATAAAGCACACAACACGCTCCCTGGTGCATCATTTGACACCGAAGACGATCCCTGGGAAGATTTCAGCTCTATGGAGGGTGAATAGACAGGAACCTGGCTATCCATGGACAATGACCGTCTGAGCAGACTCTTAACAAGTGGGCCACTCCTGTCGATGCTTTGGTTTCCAGACCCAGACCCACTGGATGGGATCACTAAGCCTAACTTTGAATAGTACAACAAGTTTCTATCTTCACCTTGGCCACTGCCTTTGCTAGTTTCTTTTAACAGATAGGGAGTCTCTGACGAGCTACGGAGAGATAAAACAGGTGGCCGCGGTCTTTTCAAAGCTAGCTCTATAGCTTTTCCTTTTGGAAGCTGACCACTTACACCTGGTTTATCATCCATAGTTTCTCTGTCTTGCAGAGGTTTTGAAGGCAATACTGCATTTCTTTTCACCAAACTGCTTCTATTAGGATCATCCAAAGATCCAGAGTGCTCAAGAGACTTTGCATATCCCACAGAACTATCTTTTGGCCAGCTCTTTTCAGTTAATGACAAATTGTGAAGTGGCTCAATTGGTTTTGGAACATGTGGCTTAATGATATTGGCCTTGACTGCAATGCTAGGTGAGGGCCGGGAAGTATGGCTTGGATCGGGTTGATTTTGACTAACAGTTTTTCCTTGTGCTTCGTTTCTACTTTGACAAACAATGACACTTCTCTTTTGAGAACTGTTTTCATCATCTTCTACAAACACTTTTTTTCTATTAGGACACGTTGGAAAAGGGGCTTGAGGAGTCTTAGAAACAATGTTAGTAAGGAAGGAAATCCCAAGGCTATAGCCAAGTTCTTGCACAGCAGCAAGGCTGCTCTTCTCAACAAATAAAGAGGAAGAATAAATGTAGTTTAAAACGTTATCAAAAGCATCTGGCTCACAAAAGTCAAGCTGAAATACAGTTTGTGACTCATTTTCCTTATTTGTGAATAAACTCTGAAAGTATTCGCTGCTAGCAGCCAAGACATTTTTATGAGCTCGAAACTTCTGGTCTCCGACAATAAGCAGCACGTCGCAGAGCTGTCCTTTGAGGCGCTCCTCATTGAGGGCGCTCAGGAGGGAAATGGCATGCGCCGGGTTGATGTAATGCAGCAATCCCTCCATGGCTTGGCTTTATCTAAAAGACAAAATGTAAAATTATCATGAATAAAGTGGGGCAAAGTCCTTCCCGACAGGAAGGGCTTCTAAGGGCAGGGAACATCAGCTGTCTTTTGTTAGGTGCCAATACTATGTAGACCATAGGCTGACAAAAGCTTTTTGGATGACACATTTATTTAAGTAACAGGGAAAAATGTAAAATAAGCCTCAGGGTTTAATCATGTCATCATATTAACATTAAAGAATTTTAGGAATTAAAGACTATAACTAAAGCATTTGTACACTATCAAAAAGAATGCTAGAACTTGGCAGGTAGATAGGGCAAGCAATATTTGAAAATAAAGGCGTATTATTTAGGCACCTTATCCATTTCATGCTTTGTTTTATTATTAATTCAGAGAGTAAGTATGAATTATCAAACCCCTAAAGCCTGTAATTCTGAAAGAAAATAGTTTTATTATTGTATATACTTAAATGTAATGTGAATTGTTAACAATGGGTTGCAGAGTAGCGGTCTCATTGGAGCTTTAAAAATAGGTAGGAATTTGGAAAAAGAGAAAGTCATTTGCTAATGACTACTAATCCAAGTGTTTAATAAAGGTTAGAAGCATTAAAGACTAAAAGTTTATTTTCCTTCTTAGGCTAATTACTTTGCAATCTCTTGAATACTACTTTCTTACCAAATCACATTTTGAACATGAGCACAAAAGAAACATTAGTCTGGCTCTAAATGTAATTAAGGGGTTTAAACTGAGACTTCACTGACATTCTCTTCAAATCTGAAGAGGAGAAGAGGCTCAGTGGCCGAGTGCATGCTCTGGCACCAGATATGTGGCGGAGCTGCCGGCTCCCCCCTGGCGAGCTGACTGTCCTTGAGCGTTTGTCAGCCCCCGTGTGGCAGGCGCCTCGTGTGGGATGGGAACAGCAACTATACCCTCTTGCAGGGTTGTTGCAAAAATTTCATGTAAAGAAATCTCAACAAATGTTATGTAATTAACTTCCAGAAATTGCAGGATTAACAGGTATTTCATTCAGTATCAAAGAAAAAGGGTCCAGATTATCCCACCACGTTCTCGATGAAGACAAAGCCAATTCACAGAGATGACACCTGATTCTCTGTATTTGACCTGTGACCCTTCACTTAGACTTCTGTTATTTAAACACCTCATCCCTTTCATTTGATTTTATAATGCTATCTTTTCTTTAAAATGTTGTCAGAACATTTATTTTTAACATCAAAATGGATCCAAAGTAACTAAGAATATTTGTGATAGTTTTATCTTTCTCTAGAGGGCAAGCTGTAGATGAACCAAACTTGGCTCCAGCACATTTGTAGGTTCTCTTCTGGCCTTTGCTGTCACCCCAGCCTCCAGGCTCTTCAGAAGAGCCAGAAACTAACCAACCACTCTGGGCCTCAGTTTTCCCCACCATAAAACTGGGATAATAATAGCAGCTACCACACAATGCTACTGTGAGAATTAAAAGAGATAGTAACAGCTACCATTTGTTCAGCACCTACCACACACTTAGACCGCACCAGGAACGTCTCACACCATTCACTCACTCAACAGAATGGCATCTGAGAGGACCTGAAGGAGGCAGGCGAGGGAGGAGCCCCGGGGGACCTGAGGGAAAGAATGTGACTGCAGACGGAAGAGCAGAGGAAACAGCAGGGCGGGAGCAGGGTGTGCTGCCGGCTCTGGATGATGAACCTGAGAGGCAATGAGGAGACAGACTGTCTAGGGCTGGGGGGACCGCTGGAAGAGCTACACTTGTTAATCTGTGTGAAATGGACAGCCACTGGAAGACTCTGAGCAAGGACTGACCAAGACCCGAATTATGTTTTCAAAGGATTGCTCTATGTTGTTGAGACCCGGCCACAGGCAGGGCCAGGGTGGAAGTGGGCAAGTGGCTCAGAGTCCACTACAATGGTCCAGGTGAGAGGGGACTATGGCTGGGTTCCAGGTGGCAAGCAGCAGGGGAGGTGAGGCAGAGAGAGCCACCAGGGTTCCTAATGGACTGGACAGAGAAGGTGAGGAGTTAAGGATTCTGCCTGAACAACTAGAGATGGAGTTTGATAGAAAAATCAGAAGTTGAGATTTATTTAAAGAATTCGGTTTTGATACCTTCCATGTGAGCAGCAGCCTGTTCATTAATGTCCGTTATGAGCGTCCTTCCCTGCTTTACTCTCCTGTTTCCTTTCCTGTGCTTCCTGGGACCACTTCTCAAATCTGAATCCTTGTCTCAGGGTCTGCTTTTGGGGGAGGCCAAACTACAAGACCACTAGAACTTGCAGCCATAGGTAAAGGCCAAGGAACGTGTGAAGACTAAACCACGTGAGATGTTCTACATGCGTGGACACAAAGAAAATGGTACTCCACATGCCACCTGTACCCTATGGCCAAAAGGCAACATTTTCCTCACTTTTCATTGTTTAGAAAAGTTTCTTTATGCTGTCTTCAAATTATCATGATCCCTATTTCTGCTCTAAAAAACTGCTTCTAATCTCTTGAACTACAGGCTTCTATCTTCCTTGAATGAGAATTAGGGAACAATAATAAAGTCACTCAGAGTTAAGCCGTGAGAGAAATATTCACTGTCCCTAAATATTTTGGGAGTTTCAAACTATTCATGACTGTAACCTCCACTCAGTCAGCAATAAGACTGCCTGCATGAACAGTAGTAAAGGATGTCCAAATTTCTGATACAGCCCTGCAGAATAACTTTACAGTATGTATTTTCCACTCTATTCACTCAAACACTAATTAGGTTCTTAATAATACTTAATATTTGAGTGCTTACTCTGCGCCAACATACACAAAAGTCAACACTTTTTTATTTATCAACACAATATTTACAGTAACCCTAGGAGATAGGTACTATTATCACCCCCATTTGACAGAGGAGAAAACTGAGGCACAGAGGGTTAAATACCTTGCTCTTAAGGTCAAACAGATAATAAGTACCAGAGCAGGATTCACATCAACTGGTTAAGCTTTTAACGCCTACACCATACTGCCTCTGGTTTCTTTTAATTCTCACATAATCTTCTGAGCTCGACACCGTCACCATCCCTGTTGTACAAATTAGGAAACTGAGGCACTGAGAGGTCAAGTAATTTGCCTCAGGTCACCCAGACAGCTGGGAGCCTGGTCCCAGAGCCTGAGCTCTTAATTACCAGATCACCTGCTTCTCACAGTTGGGCATCCATCTAGGATATGCTAGAACTCTACTAGACGTGAGGATATCAACCTAACTAGCATGGCCCTGCCTTACAGAGCTTAAAGTTTTGTGCATGAACAGGACGAGTCAATCTGTCAGCATGGTCCAGCATGCTAAGTAGCACAGGATGTCTGCAGAGGTGGAGATGCTGTACAGATGATGGCATCGGATCCAGGTGAGTCGGAGGCCAGCAAAGGCGTTTCATAGAGGAGTCAGGGAATGCATGGAAGAGACAGGCAGGAAGGGTGAAGGGAATGTCAAGGGACAAGAGGAACATGGGCAATATCACAGAGATAAGACAGAGTATGAGGTATGCAAGGGAATGGCAGGTGGTCTCATCTGGTTGGAGCAATGGGGACAAACACGGGAGGAGAAGGCCATGTGGGCTCTGGGGGCTGAAATAGGCCATTTGAGGATTATACACAGGAGAGTGACATCTTCCAATCTCTCTAGTACCCCAGGATCTAGAGACTCTCAATGCCTAAAGAGACAGGAAAGAGAGAGCTGGACAGTGTGGATGTCTCCCCTTTATGTTAAGGCCTTTGCTTCCACATTTTAATTATTAAACTTTAAAAATAATGGCCCCTTTCCTGGTCTAGCTGCAAATAGACAATTAACATTTTGTATTTTTATGTTTTACCAATAGGAGGTATATTTACTGAGCTTAACAATTAACAATATAAAATGCCTCATTAAGAATGTGGGCCAAAGGGGGAAAACCACAAGCTATGAAAGTGTTGAGCTAACCCAGCAGGACCCCTGTGGCTGGTGGGTGCGCAGACTGAACCCTCTACCCTTTGACCTCTCTGCTCGTCTGCACTCACACATGGCTGGCATGGCTGCTGGCAGTACTTTCTCCTCATGTGTTTTTTTGATCTAGATTCAACAAACTTGCTGCCACATTAAAGTCCAATTGTTCATGCATGTCTTCATGCTGAGTGATCAGGATCTCTGACTTACAGAGGGCAGCACAGTTTACGTATAAACACGCACCGCCACTGCCGGCCACGTCCCCTCCTTCCCCCTGCTCACTTCCACCTGACTCTCCAGTGCAGAAGTTCTGCCACTGCAGTCACAGTGGAGAAACCTCGGCACTCTTAAAAGAAAAGTGGGTGAAAGCCAGAAGAAAAGGCCCATTTATGAGCAGCACAAAAAGCTGAGGAAACCCCCAGGAAAACCAGACTCTCAAACAGGATTGACTTGCTTACCGCTTGGATCCTTGCACACAGTGTCTTCCCAAACTCTGCCTGAATTGTTTCTATTTCATGTTGTTTTCTGAAATTTCAAAACGAAAGAATCTTTATTGTTAACAATTCATGGAAGACATTATGGTGCCACAGAAGAGCTTTTCACTTCTGTCTACTCATCTCAAATCCTGGCTTTGCCACCTATTAGGTATGTAACCTTGATAAAGATCAGCCAACTTTTCTGAGTATTAGTTTCCTTACCTGTTAAACAGGCCTAACATTACCCATCACGTGGGATTTTTATGAGGGGCAAAAGATTCACTATGACTGAAAGTCTGGTATGTACAACACTTCCCATATGGCAAGTGCACATCTTCCTTCCTTCCTTTTCCTCTCACAAACGCTTGTGGGCACCTGCTATTCCCCACGGAGCATAAGAGGTACTAGAGATGGGGACAAGAGTAAGTTGGTGGCTTCCTGTTTCCCAGTACCTTATATTCCCATGGGAGGACAGACAACAGTTTGATGAAGGATACAGAGGGTGCTATGGGAATACTAATATCAGGAAGCCACTGACTGGCCAGGTGGTGGGAGGATGGATGAGCTAATAGTGGGGACACGAGGGAAGGCCTGAGATTTGTCACTCACTTGATGCTTATAATACAGGTTGAGTATCCCTAATCCAAAGAGTCTGAAATCTGAAATGCTCCAAAATCTAAAATATTTTGAGTGCCCACATGACACTCAAAGGGAATACTCATGGAAGCATTTCAGATTTTTGGATCAGGGATGGATATTGACTGAACTGGTAAGTATAACACAAATACTCCAAAATCCAAAACAACTTCATATGTGAAACCCTTCTGGTCCTGAGCATTTTGGATAAAGGATATTCAGCCTTAATAGTGAAGGTTCCATTCTTCACATTTCTACTACAGATACTTTTCAGAAATGCTCATCTGATCTTGTTGTGGCTTAAAAACTCCCAATGGCTTGCTATGGCCTCAAATTTCAATGTCCTGGAATGGTTACAAAGCCCTTCATAACTGGATTCCAGAAAATTATTTCATAGCATCACCTCAAATTCCTCAGGCAATAAATGCAAAGGGGATTGGGGGAACTCATATCTTAACATAAATTAATTCAATGCAAATACTTTCCTCTTTATTCAAACGTTAGATCAGTTGCAGGAAACAGGGAAGGGAGGCAATTTTGGAATACAGAGCATTCTGGTGACAGGAGCAGAAGAAAGCAAAGCACAACATGGCACTCAGAAGGGCATTAGGTGAGTGAGGGTTCAGGAAAGGATCAAAACAATCTCACCTACTTTCAAGTTTTAGAAACTGAAACTCAGGCTGGTATCACAGCTAAGGTATACATTATAAATTCAGCTGGCTCCAGGACTAGTCAAAGTCACACCAAAGTCACACACTCCAAACCATCACACCAGCTCTATAGGAAGATGTCTCCTTACGTCCAAAACATTAACCTAAAACTCAACTCTGGGAACACTGGTCCTTTGGAATGTTGGAGATTACTTTTATAGTCCTAACCATGATACTGGTAAAAAAAAGAGGGAATGCATGTACACAAGGCAAACACCTAGTTAAAAATCCAAACCATCTACATTTGGCTTTGGAATATAAACACACACACAAATGCACCCAGAGCTCATCCCCACACCCTCATCTCCATTTGATTTTACCATTGGATGATGACAGAAGCTGGCTCTGAGTTTCAGTCTTATCATCACTCACTTGGTGACAATGCAGATATCCAGAAATTATCTAAACCTCCTCAGATTTCAAAGCCAGACTAGCTTATCCGATCCCTCAAGAGGAGTCATGTTACTACCTTGTATTCCATCTCCTCACATTTTCAGTGTCTCTCTCTCGGGGAGAGGGAGAGAGAAGGAGAGGGGGAGAGAGAAGGAGAGGGGGAGAGAGAAGGAGAGGGAGAGAGAGAAGGAGAGGGAGAGAGAAGGAGAGGGAGAGAGAGGAGAGGGAGAGAGAGAAGGAGAGGGAGAGAGAGGGAGAGAGAGAAGGAGAGGGAGAGAGAGAAGGAGAGGGAGAGAGAGAAGGAGAGGGAGAGAGAGGAGAGGGAGAGAGAGAAGGAGAGGGAGAGAGAGGGAGAGGGAGGGAAGACAGGAAGGAAGGGAGGGAGGGAGGGAAGAGGGAGGGAGAGGGAGAGAGGGAGAGAGGGAGAGAGGGAGAGGGAGAGAGGGAGAGAGGGAGAGAGGGAGAGAGGGAGAGAGGGAGAGAGGAGAGAGAGAGAGAGAGAGAGAGAGAGAGAGAGAGTGAGTTAGAGAGTTAATTTAATTTTGGTTTACCCATGAGTTCTCTGCCATACCCAGCGGAATGACTGCACTCTAACATAGTTCAGGCTCTTAACTGGCACCTTAGCAGAGTAGTCTGGTCATAGCCTCTGTTGTTCTGTTCTGGCCACTCAGCAGCGTTCCTCCTCCTGGTGACAGTTCTGTGACTTTGCTTTGGAAGATTCTACCTTTTCCCACCTAGTCTGCTGTGCTGCTCTCCCCCAGCTCTGAGGCAGGCACACAACCAAAGCCAAGTCAATCAGAAACTTTGTCCCTGGAATATGGGGCTTAAGAATAACAACAAAGGCAGTAAATGAATGGAGTTGGTTTATCTCAGCAGAGGCCTGAAAATGCAACCTGCCAGTGCCTGCTACACAGATGCCTGGAGTTAGCTTGGTTTTTGTCCTTCTGGCCCAATTTTTTTTTTTTAGCTTCCCTTATAGTCCATAGACTATAGCGACCCTGTATCTTCACAATAAATTCCTTTTTCTATTCAAGCCAGTCAGTTTCTGTTCTTATTAAAGAAGCCCAATATACTTCCATGTGATAATCACTCTTCCTGTCATGCCTTCTGAAACCATCCTGCAAAATACTACCTCTGGACTGAGCTTCCTAAAACAAATATTTGGTCACTCATCCAACTTATGCATTATTACTATCATTGACTCAAGTTATTTATTAAACATCTATTACATACAAGGCATGGTTAGATTTATCTGAAATATGAGATGTTTCATATCTCCAAACAGACAAGGCCCCTACTTTCTAGTGAGGGAAATCAAGTGATAAACAAGGAAACAAACAAATAAAAAAGATAACTTCAGATTGTGCTAAGTGCTATGATGGAAATAAACAGTGTGCTATAGCTGGGTACAGTACTCAGAGAGGATGGTAGGAAAATGCCTTGATGAAACATTTTAGTTGAAACCTAAGACCTGAATGAAAAGAGCCAGCCTTGATCCTGTTTAAAAACAAAATAACAGGCCAGGTGCGGTGGCTCACACCTGTAATCCTAGCACTCTGGGAGGCCGAGGTGGGAGGATTGCTTAAGGTCAGGAGTTGGATGGAGGTCAGCCTGAGCAAGAGCAAGACCCCATCTCTACTAAAAATAGAAAGAAATTGGCCAACTAAAAAAATATATATAGAAAAAATTAGTCGGGCATGGTGGCGCATGCCTGTAGTCCCAGCTACTCGGGAGGTAGAAGAATTACTTGAGCCCAGGAGTGTGAGGTTGCTGTGAGCTAGGCTGACACCAGGGCACTCTATCTAGCCTGGGCAACAGAGTGAGACTGTCTCAAAACAAAAGAACAAACAAACAAAAAAACCCAAATGCAATGGTTCTTCATTAGGCTAAAATGCAAAACTTTGGAAACATGAACTCCAAGGCTATATAAAAGCACAATTTCTAAGAATGTTTTAAATCTTCTTTCTCTTAGTTATCCCCTTGTGATAACTCCCTGCTTCAGACGCTTTGCTTCTGAGACACAGCCTGCACATCTTACTTCTTCCATTACCCAATCTGGAATGTCCTAGAGCTCATCTAACTCGGGAGATCCCCAGCACCCCACTCACATGAACATTAACCGCCTTTCAAAGCTTAGCTCAAGCTGCAACTCCTCCAAAGAAACCTTCTGTTATGGGCTGAATTGTTTCTCCTCTCATCCCTCCCACATTTATATGTCAAAGTCCTAACCTCCAGCACCTCAGAATGTAATCTATTGCAGATAAGGTCCCCAAAGAGGTAATTAAGTTAAAATGAAGTCTTTAGGGTGGGCCCTAATCCAACATAACTGGCGTCCTTATAAGAGGAAGATTAAGACAAAGACATGCTCAGAGGAAGGACCATGTGAAGAAGACAAATAGACAGCCATCTACAAGCCAAGGAGAGGCTTCAGAATAAACCAACCCTGCCGACACCTTGATCTTGGATTTCTAGCCTCTAGAACTGTGAGAAAAGAAATTTCTGTCATTTAATCCACCCAGTCTGTTGTGCTTAGCTATAGCAACCCAAGCAAACTAATATACCTTCCTTGACTACTTCAGATAATGAGCAAACACCTCCTTTCAATTCCTGTATTATACAAAGCTAACACCATTTATGTAGTGTTTACTCATTGCCTTATATTGTTAGTCATTTATGTCTCCCCAACAGGACTGTAAGTTATTTAAGGACTGATATCTATTCAATATCTTTTGGCATTCTTCACAATGCCCAACATGGCATCTTGCACAGCAATAAATATGTGTTGATTTCTCTGTACTCTGCACTCCAATTAAATGCAGGTGTGAAAATTATGCATTTTGTTTTTCTAAAGTAAAGCTGATTACATCACCACCCTGCTTTAGAATACTCTATTGATTTTTCCATTACTTCCTAAAGAAAATCCAAACTGTAGACTGGCACACAAAACTTCACACTCTGGTTACAATTTATCTCTCCACATTTATTGGACAGTCTTTACCACCTACCATACAAACCTGGACATCCAGTTTCTGCCACCTAAAATATCTTTCTTACTTCTCCTTTATTTGGCTAACTTCTATAGAAAGATCCAGTTGAAATGTCACAGCATCTACAAAGCTTTTGCAATATGCCTCTAGGCAGCAGCTCAGTCATCTAAGCTACCACACTATTTCATCTCTCTGTAATAAAGCCACAACTATTTCAACCGATCTGCTTTTATATCTCCCTCATGAGACTCCTGAAAGGAAGAGCTCTCCTTTTTATCAATGTGTTCCCTATGCCAAACACAAGGTTTGGCGGGCATCTACTGGGCAAAGAGAGAAATCATCCAACTTTAGGTTTAGGACCTGGACTTGCTCACCTTTATTTCTCCAGCACCTGTTACAAAGCCCAACATGTGGTGGTTTTCTTTGCTTTTGTTATATCTTGTGGCTTTAATCACTACTGGACGATGATGACTCCCAAATCTGTATCTCTGCTTAGATTTCTTGAGACTCCAGGCTGAGGTGCCAGCAGAACAGTTCCATCCATCACAGGGTATCCCACCTGGCCAGCACAGCACTTATGATCCACACCTTCTCGTCTACTCCCACGCATGCATGCCTGTCCTTACACATTCCCTAGTTTGATGTGCTGCCAGCCACTAGGTCTCCTAAACCAGAAACCTCTTATCTTTCCTTAATAGCCAATCAGTGACCTGTCAGGCCTAGCTCTAGAATCTGTTCTCCCCATACCCACTGGCTTTGGGGACAACCAAAACTGCCTTTTCAATGATCTCCTTCCCATCCAGAGACTTCCTTAATAATGTAACCCTTCTGTTATTTTAGTTTTTCCTTACCAATGTACACATCCAAAATTCCCTGCTATATAACACTGTCAGCTCCTCAGGGGCAGCAGGGGTTTTATCTTCTTCAACTTCATTTCTGCAGAATGAAGTACACTATACTTTCAACAGTGTTAGAAAGAAAGAATGAATTAAGAAGTTACTTTTCAGTAGACCAATGCCTCAAATTTCTACTTTATTTTTAACATCGATATTTAGGGGTGCTTAAACTTAAATGACTATTAGTCATTAGAGATGGATGAGAGATTTACTTCTTCAAGCACCAGAGGGAAAGGTTTAAAAAATAATTTTCAATGAGAACTCTTCCTAAAATGGATTAACCCACTTTGTCTTCTTAAACAAGGTATGAAGAACATAATGTAAGCTCCTTAATTGATGACTCAGGGTCACCAGCATGAACAGTCACCAGACTATGCCGCAATACACAGATGCCCTCAGATGCCAGGTGAACAGAGCTGTTGTTAGCTCTTGGCCCCCCAAAAATCCCAGGCCGTGCCAAGTCTGATTAATCTGCCCCAACGCCGCCGGAATACCTGTCTAAAAACACCCCGCCTCCAAAGGTGCCGCTCGTGTGGCGCTCTCCCGAACCACCCCGCCCTCGTGGCGCCCGCGGGTCCGGTGCCAGCGCCCCGGGGCTGTCCCATGATTGAAGGGCAGATCGTTTGAGCAGGGACTACTGAGCGGGCTCCAGGAAAGCCACCGAAGGATCACGAGGGGCCGCGGCCGGCGTCTCTAAGGCGGCGCGACCGGCTGCGTCGCGACCGCTCCCCGTGCGACAGCTCGGCCGCGGGCGGGGGTCCTTCTCGAGTGGGGACACCGGCAGCGGCCGAGCAGAGCTCCCGGGCGGCGCGGGGCCCCGAGTCAGGGGCAAGGTCTTCCGGGGCTCCGCGAGGTCCCGACGCCACCGGAGGGCGGGCGGGGAGGCGGCCGGGGGCGGGGAGACCAGACGGGGCCGGGCCCGGGCGCCCACGATCCGGGCGCGGGGCCGAGGGCCGCGGAGGGGTGACCGGCCGCAGCAGGTGCGGGATCCGCACGGCCGCCCCCGGCTCCCGCGCCCTCCCGGCCCGAGCCGGCGGCCAGCGGCCGGCCCCACACCTGCCCGGGGCGGGGGCGCGCCTGCACCGCCGGCGCTCCAACCGCTGCGCGCGAGGGGCGCGCGCCCGGGCAGGCGCATCCGCTACCCCGGGGGCAGCCCGGCCGGGGCGAGGAGCGGAGTCAGTGAGGGAACGAAGCATGCGCAGTGGCGAGGGCGAGGCCGACTGCGGGCACGGGGCATGCGCAGTGTGAAGGCACAATCGGCTACGTGGGAGCCCGGGGCATGCTCGGTGAGAGCCAAGGCCCGGCGCAAGCGCAGTAGCGCCCGGAGCCCGCAACCGGCTGGTGGAGAGAAAAAAGAGGAGAGAAATCACCTCAGAGTTACGTCAGGAAAGGCCGCGATTTGCGGGGAGGCTGGGGTTTCCCACAGGGCCCCGCAGTTCTCCTAGAGCCAGGGGCGTGACAGTTACTCACCGGTCTTCAGCCCCGAGGCAGACGCTGGGCCCCTTTCCGCTCACACTCGGCTCGCGCACGCCGCAGCCGCCGCTGCCGCTGTGATTCCATCCATCTTGAATTTGACGTCATCCCACACCAGGGATGAGGTCATCGCAGGCAGCGCTCGTCACGTGCGCGGCGCTCCGATTGGCCGCCGGGCGCCGGGGCGGGGCGAGGACAGGCGCGGCGCGGCCGGAGGCGCTGCGGGACGGCGCGGGGCGGCGGCGCCTTGGGTCCGAGGGCGCGCGGCGGCTCTGAGGGAGGCGGCGCGAGGGAGGCGGCTGGGCGGCGCTGCGCTGGCGGCGCGTCGTCCGCAGGGGCGCTGCCGGTGCGCCGCGGCGGTCCGTCCGAGCCCGGCCGCGCGGCGGGTCGGCGGTCGCGGCGGGCGGGCGTGGCGCGCCGTAGACCCGCGGGCCGGCGTGGACGTCCGCGGGATGCGCGGCGGCGGGAGTCCCACTTCCTGCCTCCGACGCGACCTGCCCGCGGGGACCGGCCGGCGCGCAGACACCGCGCGGCTTGCGGCGCGCCCGGGGGACCTGACTGCTTCCGCGGCGCCGGCGCTCAGCCGCGTCCCGGGCTTTGCCGGGCTCCCTGCACGGGGTTCGCCTCCGGCGTCAGGAGAACAGTGAGAAAACTCGCCTCGCTTTCCGTCAGCCCCAGACAATTAGGTGACAGGAACGCCACACCGTGAATCCCGTCTCTAAACACAGGCCCTCTGGTTTAGACGAGCTAAACAGCGTCTTGAGGTGTTCTCCAGAGCCCAGAACAACCGGTCGGAGAGGACATTGCCTTCGAAAGTGACAGTTCTAGAACAGACATTTAAAAACTACTGAATTTTAAGTCTGCATTGATGATTTTTCAAGTGTTAATTGTTAAATTTTCAAATTGGATTTTTGAAAACTGGATATGTGCGCATGACCCCAAGGTAAAATAATTTATGAAATGTTTGGAGACTATGTGGAAGAAATAATCTTGCATTAATAATTAAATTAATAATTAAAAACTCGTTCCCAAATTGACAGTCCAGTGTCAGTTGTTTTAGTTTAAGAGGACTCAGGCTTAAAGAATCTTGCACCGAAAAATTTTCTCCTACAGCTGTTTGAAAACTTTAAAGAATGTCTTTATGTTTTGAACTGCATGGTGCTAAAGCCCAAAGTGGCTTTGTACTTAAAAGAAGGTGGAAGGCAACAGTGATCTTAAGTCTGTCCAAGGGCCTTGAGTTTTAGGGTGCCCTGTGATTAGCCTGGGTGAGCGTGTGCTGCTCCCCCTTTTTTATAGCCCGGAAAACCAATGGGAGCTGCCTAGCAAGATTGCTTTTGATAGAAGCCAGGTTTCCTGGCTCTCGCTTGACTATCCCCTGTGCGGAAAGCAGTCTTCCTTCACCGCCTGTCCCTTTCTAGCTACCTGCTTGCCTGGGTTTTTTCCAGGATTCCTCAGAATACACATTGGTGTCTCCACTTTGAGCCATGTTATCAGGTTTTGTCCTCACCATTTCACTGAAGCTGACCCAGTTGCCAGATCCAGCAGAAACCTTTCAGTCTTACAGGTGACCTCTGATTTGTGACACTGCCAGTTTCTCCAGCACCGACTGCTTCGGTTCCGCCTCATTCCCTGATCCTCCACCTCTTACCTGACTGCTCCCTCTTGGCTTCCCGTGTTGGCTCCTCTGCCCCTGCACGTGCTCACACTGTGTTTCCTGAGGGCTCTGACCTTGGCTCTCTCGTCACACTCCCCCTGTGCCGTCTCAGCCATCCCCGGGACTTTTGCCCAGTTGCCTGAGCCAGGAACTTGGGCACCATCCTACGCTCCTATGCATCTGGCCTGTTCCCAAGTCCTGTTTGTCCTGTCTCCTGAGTGTTTCTCTGATAATGTAGCCCCTTCTTCCTGTCTTGAGCAGCTTCCTAACTGCTCCAGCAGCCTCCAGCTTTTTTCTGTTGTAATCCATGCTCACGTTGCAGCCAAAGTGATCTTTTTAAAAAAGCAAAAGGTATCACGCCACTCCCCTGCTTAAGTTTTTAATGACTCTTCGTTCCTCTTAGAATAAAGTTCATCCTCCAGCCTAGAAGAGCCTGGTGACTCGGCCCACCTCTCCCCAGGTCTCCCTCCACCCACGCAGACACGCACACCCGCTTTAAACAAGTCTGGCTCTGCCTCTTGCCTCTGGGCTTCAAGTGTGTTGCCCTTTACCTGAGCTATCACTCCCCCTCTCCCCGTTTTAACTTGGTAATTTCGCCTTGTTAACTGGTGTTACTTCCCCTGGATTTTATCACCTCCCCACCCCCACCCCTGACTGGCACCTCTCAGCCTCATTCTGGGCTTGGTGCTTCGCCTCTGTGTTCCCATGGCACCTCTTGTGTGTTTTGTTGGTACCACCGTGTAGGTGCTGTTGGGTTTGCCCCTACCCCCTCACACGCTTAGCATGTTTACTGAGTGTTATCTACACACTGAAGCATCCCCAGACAGGATCTCTAGCACCGTGTACACAAATATTTATACATCATTTAACGAGCCGCCTTCTTGTTGGACATCATCCTGCAGATAACAGCTATGCACTCAGCAAGCTCACAGCAGAACTTCCTATTGGCTTTCTGTCTTCCCTTAAAGTTATGCTTCCTTCCTTGTCCCTGTCCTACGTGATTAAAAGGCCATCTGCCTTGTTAGCCAGGCCAGGAACTTGATGGTTATTTCCCTGTCAATTTCTGCATTCATCCTTCACTAAGTCCTATCAGTCTACCTCTTAAAAGCCCTTTAAATCTATCTTCGCCAGCCCGACTTCTGCTGTTCCTGGCTCCAGCATCTCTGTCCAACCTGTGGCTTCTCAGCCAAATTCCTGCTTCAGTTTTGCTTCCTTCTCTTCCCAGTCCAGTCTGTTTTCAGCCAAATTCATCTTTCTGAATGCAGATCAGATCAATTTGCTCTGCTGCCAAATCCCCTCCCTGCATGGGAACCCCAGTTATCTGCAGCCTCAGTGCTGGGCAGGCCTAGAGTGCTGTCCGGTGACTTTGCTCTCTGCCTGACTCCTGCCGTGCCACCCGTCCCCCCTCCCCCGGCCGTCAGCACCTGGGATGCCCTTTTCCTATTCAGTCTGATTTATCTTTCCAGTGTCAGAGCAAGGCTGCCTCCCTGTGCACCTCAGCCACTCCACTGTAAGGTCTATTCTGTCTATTCCTGGCGGCTTGAAATCCAGGCTCTCCAGTAGTAGGTGTGCTCCTTTGTACAGAAACCATGCCCGATAGTCTGTGTATTCCCAGAGCTTGGGGCCTGTTGGGGCTGTGTCCTGGGCCGTCTGCTCCCGAAGGCTCAGAAACTGGTACGATGGCATCCAGTGCTGTGGTATTAGTGATACCATAGCTTTGCATTTCTTGTACCAAACACTGCCCTTTCATCAGTTGAGCGAGAGAAGTCTGCATGGAGTTTAAAACATAAGCCTCTGCATGTTTGGAAGTGGGAGGTTTTAATCAGCTGTGATTTCTCTTAACCATCACTTCATTTTGAACGTGTGTCTGGATGTCCAAATTCACCCAACCTGTGGGTTGGGTGGTTGTCTCTTTAAAAAAATTAGTGTTAGTTTCCCGTGGCTGCTGTAAGAAATTGCCACACACAAACTCGGTGGCTTAAAACGACAGAAATTTATTCTTTCACCGTTCTGGAAGCCAGAAGTCTAAAGTTGGTATCACTGGGCTAAAATCAAGATGTCAGAATCCATCCCTGCCCCTTGCAGCTCGGTGGCTGCTGCATCACTCATCTCTGCCTCTCTTCTGTCAAGTCTCCCTCTCCTCTACAAGGGCACTGGGGAAGGCATGGAGGGCCCACCTGTTTAAGCCAAGCTACTCTCTCCATCTGAGGATCTTTAAATCACATTTGCAGAGACCCGTTTCCATACGAGGCCAGGAATCAGGACCTGCCATCTTGAAGGGTCACCGTTTGGCCTACCGCAGATAAGGACAGCATTCCTGTTTGCATGGAGCAACAAAGGTGGCTTTGAAAGGTACGAGACCCAGAAAAAAGAGGAAAGAGAAGGGAATGAGAAGAGGGGAAAGTGAAGAAGGGGGAAATGTGAGATTGGCGTGTAAATGGTTAAGGCCACTTGAGTGTTTAGTTAGGCTCAGGACTGGAGTGCCACGGGTCACAGTGCTGTCTTCAGCATGATCGAAGTTGGGTCGGGTTAAGCGTTGATCCCACTGGGTTCCCATAATTGAGAAGCCCTGTCTTTGAACATGATCATAAAAGAAAAGGGGTACTAAGCTTAAAGGCCACCCCCAACCAGAAGTCTCAATTGTTGTGCTTTTCTCTGAAGAGCCTAAGTGCCTCTTCCTCTCTCTTCTCACCACCCCTCCCTTGCTCTTTTCACCTTAAAGACCAGGTGCCTGCAGGGCCCTCCAGTTCAGCAAAGGATACAGCTCCACACCGGTTTCTAGCAGTTCTTTTGCCTTAAGCACGATTGGGAGAGGACTGTGCGTATGTGCGTGCCTGTGTATGTGTGTGTGTATGTGTGTGTGTGTGTGTGTTTGTGTGTATGTGTACAACAACAGTAATTCAGGCTATTTGATTATAAACTTTGTGTGCAATAAGAAGATGGGTTAGGTGGACTTTCTTATGTATTATTTCATAAGTTGCCTTCATGAAAGGAGGTGTGGAATACAATTGCTTTAAAATATGCACCACGGGGTTTCTTTAGGGAAGAAAGATGGATTGTGCATCCCCAAGGCTTTGGGCTGGATGAAGGATAGCGGCTCCATTTAACAAGTGTCTGCTGTGTGTCCTCAGCTGTGATCTCATCCGCCCCGCCACCCTGCTCCTTAGGAATAAAGATGACCATTTTACACGCCAGGAAGTGAGGCTTGTAAAGGCCGAGACATGGAGGAATGGGAGTTGGAGCCGCCTGACAGCAGCGTCTAAGACCTTTCAAATAAATGCAGCTGCTCTGGGAACATTTCAGATGTGCGTGGTAGAATCTGTTAACGGGTCAGCCCTTTATCTTATGTTTTCCTAAATGGGAAGGGGTGAATCCAAAGCACAGCGCTTTGGTTAGATCATCTGGGAAGGGAGAAAGGTGTGTGCACCTGGCAACTAGCCGGAAGGAAGCAGAAAGCAGAGGGATTCGTGCTCCAGGACCTGTCTGATCAGAGAATTAGCTGATGAGCTGTCTGTTGTGTGCAGAGAGAGGTATGCAGGAGGTGGAGCAGGTCCATCTCTTTCCCATCCCTTTCCTGTTCTCCTGTCTTCGTCATTGCCATTCACGTAGACGGGAACATGGACACAAGTGGTGAATGCTGTGAGTTCTGTCTCCCCCAGGCACCCAGTCACCCAGACACCGGTGGCCTGAGGCTGGAGATGGAGGTGTCAGGCCTTTGTCCTTGCAGTGCACAGAGCTCCCCAGGCGGGGACCTGACTAAGATGAGCTCTGGAACCCATTAGTCACCCCCTCCCCGTGCAATGGCCACAAATAAAGGGGCTCCGGCTCTGGCCGTGACCAAGGCCGTGCTGATTCCCGGACAGGCATCGGGGAGCTGACGATTGCTGTTCTGGATTTGCAGGCTGAGCCGTCAGACTGTGGGAGAAAACGGTGAACTCACCAGAGGGCGTTCATCTGGGGGGGCCTTTTTCGAACAGCGGCCCGGGCTCTGCACCTAGGGGGCCAATGGCGCTGTCTCCGTGCTGTGGTGTGTGGCGGCTGCGCGTCTGTCCGGCTTGGACATTGCGCTCCGTGGGCTGCTGCGCACGTGGTGCGTGGGCGGGTAAGAATGCTGACTGCCTCATCTGACCCTCAAGCTGGTTTTTTAAAAATAGACATATGAGTAGTTTTTTGTTTTTGTTTTTAAATTTTGGGGACGTCAGAGCTCTATCCCTTCGCTTTTGGCGAGAGTCAGCCATGCCAACCGTGGTCCAGCATGTGAGTCGCCTTATTGAGAAAGGAAATATGAACATGCATTTAAACTTGATGTAAAAAAGTTCTTACTGTACTTAATTATTTCTGAAATTTATTTTTATATTTGGCATGCTTATGCTATACATTTGACACATTTAAACATCTTAATAAATATTTACCCTCAGACTTGAATGAATACATCCATTTCAGAGCTAGACTTGATAAAACATAGAGGCTGTATTTGAGGTTTGCTTACAAAGCACTCTCACAAAAACTGGGTCAAATGATTTAATCTGTTTTCTCCATTAGAGAGCAGCCTTTCTCCCCTCCCTGCCTCCCTTGTAAGTGTGACTCAATTGATTTGGTACACAGTCTGGTTCTCTGATATCTGTGAAATTACTACTTCTAAAAATAGGTGCTCGGTTCCTTTTATGCTTTATTTATTTCCGAGGTAGGCCAATCATTGTTAGGGTTGCAACACTTTGAAAATTGTCAGGTGGTGAAGACCCATGACCGAGAACCACGAAGATGTCATCTGAGGTTTTGCGAAGTCTGCGTATTTAATTCATTTTGCATATTTTTGACTGTGCTAAGTCTAGAATTTTCAAATATCCTTGGAAATATTCCCAAGAATTTTGCCTTATAAAAATCAACTAAATTTTAAAAATAAGATGATTTGAGCACATGACAGGGTGGCAAGGGTGAACGATGGTTGGATGTCCCTCATAAAATATGATTTCCTTCTCAGATTTAGTTCTCCCCTTGCACCCGGTGGGCTGGAGTGAATATCTGATTGCGTTGTGGTGGCATGGTTACCAAGATCACATCGTTACTGTATTAGCAGCACTGTAATAACTATTCTAAACTTAAGCCTTGTGTTCTTTTTCCTGGGCTTGAAGTTGGCTCATCGGAATTCTGTGTTAAAGCCAAGATTCCAGCCACCCTGCACCCAGTGCTGCAAGGAGGAACGGTGTTTGCTTCCACCACCTTTCAGTGACTAGTACAGCGAGTGGCCTATCCTGGAGTCAGGTACCAAAATATATATATATATCTTAGTGGCCACCGAGGCAATTAAGCTCAATTGTTTTATCAAGTCTAAACTAACCTTCAGAGTAGCATTGACCAGATAGTGTTTTAATAGGATCAATATGTACAAACATGTAAGGAGACCATAAACGGGCAAAAATCACACCGCTGATTTGTCATCAAATATAAAAAACCAAAATATGGCAGAGCAAGGGTGAATTATTGTGAAGATTGCCAATTGAAGCTAAAATGCCTTCAGGCCTGAGAATTGATATTAATTGTATTGATATTAATTAATAAATAAGTGAGCTTCGCTTGACGACAGGTGTTGCAGGACCTGGCGGGAGGTTAGCGGCGGGTCCTGGCTGTGCAGAACAGCCGCCGCGCCGTCGCCGTAGCGTCTCGAGTGCAGAGGCAGGAGGCCCCCGAGCACGCAGAGTGAAGGCCATGGGCCGTGCCGCAGTGACACGCTGACACGCTGACACGCTGTGCTCTAAGCCTTCACCAAGCTGACCCCAGGCTCGCTCCCCTGACTCGTAACTATTTCTGGTAGTGGGGGTCAGTACCGAGTTACAGGAAGGACCCAACAATCGACCACAGCGTTATGATAATGGGGGGATGCAGATTCACTGATAATCAAGACATTCTAGATTTCCTTTCGGAGTTTTGTAATGCGCTAACGACTCAAGATGATTTTACACAGAAAAAGGAGAACCCCGTAGAAGGATTTGACAGTGCGTAAGACCCACCTTCCCGTCGTCCCTTGTTTGGGGCAGGTGATGTGTGCGTGCGTGCAGCGTTGTCCTATCGCCAGGGCAGGTGAGCTGGGGAACTCCAGCCTGTCTTTTAAAGGCACAGGCGGTGCTGCAGCTTTGTATCATAGTCGATATTAATATCTCCCTCTCTGACCCGCCCAGCTGGAGCAACACCCACCAGCCCCGTGGGGCCTGGGACGCGCCTCCCTTAAAGCACCGTGTTGGAACGTTGGTTCCCAGCCCATCTCATTTCATCTCTACTTCTCAGCTTGATCCTAGGCAGGCGTGCACCTGGCCCCGGGTCAGGGCTCCAGGGATGTTTGCTCACTGAATGGGATTCTCCTTTATAGAACGTAGCTGAGGATTCCTGCGCTTCTCTCTGGTCTTCTCCCCTATTCCAGGACAGTCATGATAATGACCTGTCTCGCCCCCTTGCCGTTAGGTAGACCATGTGACCAGTTGTGGCTTGTGGATTATGAACAAAGGTGACATTTGTCACCTCCTGATTGTCTGCCAGCTTTGTGCATGCGTTCGATGAACATGCGCTGAGCACGTGCCTGGTGGTGGCGCACTGTGCTGGCTGGCCATAACAGGTGCTCCGGGAACACTCACTGGCCAAACAGGGATCTGGAAGGGAGCTCTGGGTGCAAGGGCAGGTGTGGGCAAAGGCGTGGGGCTCGGAGGACTCTCTGGACCTGGAGGTTCGGGGCCCAGCTGGAGCCCTGCAGGGGTGAGGGCTGAGGCTGGAAGGGGGGGTTTTCTGTGTACCCGTGTCCAGGCCTGGACTCCCCCTGGGTGACAAGGACATAGTGTGGGGTTTTAGGATCAGGACAGGCAGGTTCAGGTTTTGAGCCTGGGTGTTCTGTGGAAGGTCGAAGGAGAGGGAAGAGGTTAGAAACCGGGGGTCTTCTGCAGTGTTTGCAGTGAGAAATTAAAGGAGCTGGAAGAAGACGGTGGTAAAGGTGGTGGACACTCACGGCCCAGGCAGACTGTGACTCACTGGATTCCCGACTGGGAGAGAAGGGAAGAGCCTGAGGTAACTCCCAGGTTCAGGCTACGAAACCAGGCATAACCCAGAGCCCGACCCTCAGAGAGCTGCTTTCTCAGTTTCTACGTTCTTTCCCCATGCCCCTGTTGGGGTGATTAGCTCTGCTCAGAAGCCGCCCCCAGCCCTACCAGTCCTGCCTGCGGAACCCCACTCTGCTGCATGAATCCACTGGGTGTTTACCCAAAAGAACTGAAAGGGGTCACGAAGAGGCATCCACACTTCCATGCTCACTGCAGCATTACTCTCCACGGCCAAGGTGCAGAATCAACTTAAATCTCCATCAGCATGTGAACAGATAAAGAAAACGGGATATATACACACAATGGAATATTGTTCAGCCTTGAAAAGGAAGGGAATTCTGTGATACGCAACAACAGGGATGGATCCGGACGACACTGTACTAGGTGAGATAAGCCAGTCCCGGAAGGACACATGCTGCATCAATCCACTTCTACCAGGTGACTAAAATAGTCCAGTCCGTAGAATCAAGGAGTGGAGTGGTGGTGGCCAGGGCCCGGGGGAGGGGAAACGGAGAGGTGCCGATCAGCTGGTGTAAAGCTTTAGTTAAGCAACATAAGTTCTAGAGATCTGTGCCCACAGTCAACAAGACGCTGCGTCGTACACTTAAAGCTTTGAGAGAGTAGGTCTCATGTGTTCCTACCACGATAAAATGAGATACAATAAAAAATCCTGGGATGAGCATTCCCAAGCAGGCCTGGCAGGGTTTCACTGTTTTGCCCATGTGCTAAGAAGGGGCTGCTCGCCTGGCGACAGTGCTTTCCAGACACAAGTCTTGCCGTGGCCTGCGCACACATCAGTCCAGATGTGCTTGGAATGCCAGGCCCAGGACTTTGTGGGAAAAGTGACTTTTTAAAACGGAGGGTGAAGGTGTGAAGTCACAAGCACCCCGCGAAATCAGGGATGCGTGGTGGCCGTAGCTGTTTACCTGCCACCGCTGGGGAATGCACCTGTGTCCGGGGACAGCCTCCGTTTGAGGCAAGACACAGTCTGAGGACAAGCGCGCCAAGCCAAGGCCTGCAAAAGGGGACCACAGAGCAGGGGCCAGGCAACGAGGCGGGGATGGAATTAGAGCCCAGGGCGTGCCGTGCAGTGGACGAGCAGGCAGGAGCCAGGTCTGGAACTCTGGGATTCAGAGCTGGCTCGCCAGGGGGTGAAGGCCTTCTAGGGTCTTTGACCACTGGGAGAAGGGGAACACGGACAGAGCTGTGTGGAGCCCGCACGCTGGCGTGTGATGGCGGCTGGTGCAGCGGCAACTGCAGCAGCCCTGCGGGAGGTCGGGGGAAGGCCAGGTCACAATAGGTCTGGCTGGGCTGGAGGTGCTGTTGCCAGGCAACCGGCCCTCTGCTTCCTTCCGTTGTGATTTTCCTGACCTGGTCGTGGGGTCCCTCTCTGGAGAGCAGCTGCAAAGGCCACCCCTGTCCTGAGGGGCGGTGGCCAGGGATGCACCGATGCTTCTTCACCCTGGTGGGCGGCCCGATGCCCACGTGTCTGACCCTGACCAGGTGTCCCGCTCGCAGGAAGCAGGTGCCCTTGTGGCTCCTGTCTGACTGTGTCTAGTTCATCGCTACCAAGACGGCCTCGCTCTAGGAGCCCTGGTCAGGAGGAAGTTAGGTCTGGGTGTGTGATCAGGGGGGACCCAGAGGCGGCAGCTCCACCAAGCACAGGAGACAGCAGCAGCAGCAGGTCTATTCCGTGCAGATGCCGAGAGGAGAGGGCAGCAGCCTCGCAGCCGTGGTCAGGGGCACGTGCACTCCACCGGCCGATGAGTGCAGAGAGAGAGCCCCGGGGGCCAAGCCCAAAGCAGGTTCCCCACAGGGAGCCCCAGTTGGTGGGTTTGGAGCCAGCAGGCATGCGCTCTGTGGTCACCTGGGATGGAGAGAGGGGTCATAGCAGCAGAGCTGGGCAGCCCCTGGGGGCGTGGGGTCTGTGGGCTGAGTCAGGCAGGCTGTCTCCAGCTGTCCCGCAGGAGGTGGGGAGGGGTCCCCAGGAGGCGGTGGTGCGAGGCAGGTGTGTGGGAGGAGGAGGACAGGAAACTGAGCCAGGGGTGGCTCAGCCCTGCTGGGGTGAGAGTCCAGATTCCATTCAAAGTGCATCCAAGGCAACGTGAGAGTGTTGCAGGTTGACGAGGCTCCCCTGTGCCCCCACAGGTTGTCCCGTGTGCTGCCCCAGGTGTAGCACCGTGCCCAGCACGTGGGGGCACTCTGTGAAGAGGGAGGAGGGGCACAGGGAGATGGGGCCGGGTGGGGATGCGTGCGGCTGGGCTGGGCTGGGTTGAACTCAGCCTGGGAGACGGGCAGGACCGGGCAGGGTGGGTGTGGTTGGAGATGCAGAGGTGACTGGGCTCTGACACACGTACGGGGCAGCCGAGAACAGGCAGGGCCTGAGCCCAGGCGGGAGGGTGGGCTGGGAGGGGGCGCAGGTGGGAGACGCAGGACCGTGTCACGGTCGTGTCTGAACTGGCATTTCTGTGGCTCTGCATGGTGACTGGCACGGCGTCAGTGCCCAGCGAAGACTTGTTGGGTGAACGAATTCGTGTCTCCGCTGGACACACCTGACTCGCTTTCAAGTCCTGGTGTCGAGCTGGGCGGCAAGCAGATTGCTGGGAGAACGCAGGGGCCAATCGAGGAAACACCCCGCTGCGGGAAGGACGCTTCTGTGCACCGCAGAGGGTTCCCAGGCGCAGTTGCTCGCGCACAGACAGCCGCTTGCTGAGCCGACAGGCATTGCCGCCCGAGTGGCTGAGGGTTGAGTGACGAGTGGAAAGCGCGTGGCAGTGGGCGGTGCCTGCACCCTGAGACCACGAGTCACCGTGAAAGGTGCTGCGTTTAAGAGCGTACGTTTCCCGACGGGCTCAGGACCAGTTCTGGTGCGTTAGCCCGGGCTTGCTCTGCGCCACTTCACCTGCGCCCGGTTCCCTAGCGCTTCTTACCTCTCCAAGGGGCGGGGCGGGGAAATCTCCTCCACTGGAGCTGTTCCCTTGCGCCCGTCCCTTTGCTCTGGGGTCTGTGCTGGGTTTCTGTGGCTGATGTAAGGAAGTGTCCCAACTGGGGGGCTTAGATGTCAGAATGTGTCCTCTCACAATTTGGAAACCAAGAATCCAGGTGTCTCTAAGGTGGGGGGGCCCTCCCCTGCTCCCCCCAGCGTCTGGCTAGTGCTGGCAACGCTCGGTGTTCCTCCGCTTGTGCCGGCGTCACTCGTCTCTTCATGTGGCCGCCTTCCTGTGCTTCTCTGTGGCACCCCCACCCATCCCATACGGCCAGCAGTCCTTGGACTTAGGGCCCACCCCGCTCCGGTGCGACCTCATCTTCCCCTCACCACATCTGCGAGGACCCTCGTTCCGAATAAGGCCCCGCTCTCAGCATGCTGTGGTGACCACGCCGGGCAGGAGGCACTCGCTGCCTTTGGTGCTGCGGCAGTTCTCAAACTGCGCCCTCGTCGGCACCCCTGTGTTGGGCCTCGCCGGCGGGGGTGCAGGTTGGCGTGGGCTGGGTCACTCACGCTGCCTTCTTTGCTCTTTGCCTTTTCCCTCCTTGTTTTTTCCCTGCTGAAGATAAGAATAACATTGGAAGTCACGATGAAATCACAGTTCATAACCTGAAGGGCCGCAAGGATTAATGACACGGTGGCACCGTAGACATGCCGTCCTGGAGCCAGATGCCCGGCCTCCCCCTGCTCTTCCCCACGTCCTTGCTGTGGGACACTCGCCTCTGTGGCTTCCTGTGCACCCAGCCCCCACCTGACTCTCCCCCGTCGAATGGCCCAGTGACGCGTGCCCTGCGAGAAGATGGCCTGGGTTGAACAGACCCCTCCCCCCGGAGAGAATCTAAGTCTTAGCACGATTCACACGCTATCGACACGGGGTTCGGCCAGTCCTGGCTGTGTCAGGGCGTGTCCTGTGCACAGGGGGGTCCAGCAGCATCCCTAGCCTTGACCTACCAGATGCTAGTGACGTTGGCTCCTGGTCCCAACAGCCCAAAATAACTCCAGACATTACCCAACATCCCGGGCGGGGAGCAGAGTCGCCCCGAGTTGACAAATGCCGGCCCGGTGCCCCTGACTGTGGGCTGCAGAGGTCGGGGGGAGCCCAGGGGGAGGCCGCATCAGGCGCACTCGGGGAGGCAGCACAGGCTGTGCGGAGGGACCGTGAGCTCAGCCGAGGGTGGCGGAGGGCACATGGGGGCAGGAGCCGAGGAGCGGCGTGGCATGCTGCTTCGGTGGCACCCCAGCAGGAGGCCGTTCCGGGTGTCTGCCACCATCCCCGTGGGGTCCAGCCCTGCTCTCCCCGTCCCACCCCTGCAGAAGCATTTGTCAGCGAAGCCCGGTTGCCCTCACCACCGTGAGAACGGGGTTACGACCATCCAGATCTTGCCACCCCGCAGGCCGGCATCAGGCGGGCCGCAGGTTCCGGGTGGTTCTGAATGCCCCAACTGTGCGGTCACTGCACTTTCGCTCCCACTCAGGCAAGCATGTGTGCGCCACGCGTGTGTCCCTTTACTGGACGCCCCCTATGGCGTCGGTGCACCTCACAGCTGATCAGCATGCTCGGAGCGCTGGGATCCACCGCCCTCCGGGGCCCTCACTCCGTGTCCCGCCGCGCAGCGTTAGGGGTGACGCGATGGAAGGTGAACGTGCCAGACACGTCGAGATGCCCCCGGCGCTCACTAGCAGCTGGCGCGAGAATGGGCTGAACAGACGCTTCCCTGCAGGAGAGATGCGGACGGCAGGTGAGCACGGTCAGAGATGCTCGGCACCGTCAGTCACTCGGGAAACGCAACCTAAATGACAGCAAGATGGCACCGCACGCGCCTCGATCGAATATGCAATGTCAGATGTCCACAAGGGTGCAGAGCAACCGGACTCCTCCTACCTCGCTGGTGGGAATGTAAAATGGTGCAACCCCTTGAGACAACAGTTTGGTGGTTTCTTATGCAGTGAAACATGCCATGGCCCAACAATTTCACCCCTAGATATTGACACAAGGGAAAAGAAAACACAGAAAACGCAGCCTTATCACCCAAATTGGAAGCCACCCGAAGGTCCCTCGACCGGTGCTTGGATAAAGAAATGGCACTATGTCCACGCAGTGGAAGACTGCTCAGCACGGAACGATTGCCGACACGAGAACACGGATGCTCTCAGAAGCGCCGTGCTGGGTGAAAAGATGCCAGACGCTAAAAGCTCCGAACTGTACGACTGCATTTGTGTGGCTTCTGGAAAAGGCAAAACTGCAGGGCATAGATCAGGGGTGCTGAGGGTGGGGGAGATGATTGACAGCCAGTCAAAGGAGGGAGCTTTTGAAAGTGATGGGCACGATCCGTCTTGGTGGTGGTGGCGTTACTGTGCCCGGCTACACCTGCCAACATTTACAGAGCACAGAGCTAAGACAATGAGTTACGCCTCATGTGCCTCCCACCTCAATAAATCCGCCTTAAAGAGACCAAAAAAAAATAAATGCAAAACAAAAATCCCCGAGCTCACACGGCCCTGAAGGCTTCTGAAATCGTGCTGTGTACTCCCCTAAAAAGCTCAAAGGATGACAGTTTTAGAGCCATCACTCCCAGGATCTTTATTTCTGGGCCTCAGGTTTTGGACATAACTCACACAATCTCTTCAAAGATAAGAAAGCTTGCTGTGACTTCGTGCTGGTCCCTTCATGCAAGGGTCAGCCCTCCAGCTCTCTGCGGAGCCTTTAGTCCAGACACTTTATTTCTCTATAAAAAAGGATATTAGGAAACAATATTTTTTGGCAAGCATTGCTTGTGGAGACTTGCTTTTTTTTGGAATATTTCTATAAGCAGAAATGTGAGAATGGTGGAATCAGCCTCTAGTTTTGGTGAATGTTTTTGAAGTGAAAAGTCAAAACTTCGACCAGTGCTACGATATTTATATGCCCTGAAATAAAGTGCGGGTTTGGAAACTGTATCCGTTAGGTTTAACACGGTGTTAATGCTGGGGAAACGAAGGCGACTGTGATTGTAATTGTGAAGGACCGGGCGGGGGGAAGGCAGGCCCTCTGCCTCCTGTGCGGTCCCTCGGACATTTGCACTGTGCCCAAACCCTTCCTGTCCCTGCCCCAAGCCCAGCCCTGGGCAAGAACCGCCACTCTGGCGGGTCCTGGGCACAGTTTGCCAGCGGGCGGGGCCCTGGGCCCCGGCGGACCCACTCCTGGGGGAGCCCACGCTGCTCGGGCGTGCCCCCTTGGCCCAGACTCCTCTCCTGCCACCTTCTGGATCTTTCCTTGGGAGCGGAGCCAGGCTGTCTTCCTTGGGCAGGCCAGGAGATGCAGTCCGGCTGGGTCCCCTCCCTCTCCCTGCCACTGGCCCCGCCGAGTCCGAGGGGGGTCTGGGAGGAAGGGGCTCAGGTCAGCCCCAGGCCCCAGCATCTGCCAGAGCTCCCTGTGTCCGAGACGGGGCATCAAGAGCCCTCTCCAGGTGTTGGTTCAGCGGTGCTCCAGCTGCCCTGCCCAGCGTGGCCTCTGTCCCTCGCACACAGCTCCCTGCGAAGGGGCGTCCGGGGTCCTGTCCATCACAGCGCCTCCCTGCCGCGTGGCCCACCCAGGGGCCCCTAGGGGAGTTGAGCCTGCCACAGCCCTGGGCGGTGGGAGGACAGCACAGCCTGACCACTGTCCATCTGGAGTTCCACGACTGTAGCTCTTCAGGTTGTTAGCTTGGTGACATCTGGACTTAAGTTTTTTTTTTTTTTTAAGGCAGCTTTTTTTATGGAAGTCGTTTCAAACATAGCAAAGTCTCAGGCACAGGAGAGTATAGGCTGCCCGTCTGTCTGTCTTTCCCCCAACCCACCTGCTGTCCAGCTTTGCTAGTCTGCTTTGGCATTTGCTCTTCCTGTCTCTGTCTACACCCCATGTGCACCATTTGTGATCATTTGCGAGTCAGCGGTGTTCACCATGCCCCTGATCACTACGTCCTCCAGTGTGCATTTCCTCAAAATAAGAGCACGGTTTTGCATAAGCAATGGGTCAGGTTCCTGGTGAGCGACCAGCAGAAGGCTCCCAGCTCGCTGGAGCAGGGGGCTGCCCCTCTCTTTCTCATCCGGATTCTTTCTTCCACAAGCCACGTCCTGTTTCTGCTTACCTCTTTCTTCTGAGGTGAGCTCTAGTTCCCCGTTCTGTGTCTCTAGCTTCTGATTATCAGATGGCACCCCTCCTGGGCCCGTACCCTGCAGAGCCACTCTGCACTGTGGTGCAGTCAGTGCGCTGCATAAAGGCTCCAGGTGAAGGGAGCAGTGCTGGGTCTGCTCGTGGGCTAGATGCCCACGGAGCTGCATTTGCCACAGCAGACTTTTCCTCACCCACACAAAGGTGGCACAGAGGCCAGGAGTGGCCAGTAAACAAAGGCGTTTTAGAAGGGGGGGTGTTCCGTGGTGCCCAGTGCCGTGGAGTTACGAAAGGGGCAGACTGAGACTTGGGCACTGTGCTTAGAAACAAGCTGCCCTGGGTGACTTTGAGATTTGTCTTCACGGGGCAGTGGAGGCGACAGCCCCATTAAAGTTGGTTCAAGAACTCGAGGAAGGAGTTAGGACATCAAGACTGTGCCTGCGTGGGTGTCTCTGGGTGTGTAGTGAATTCGTACAGTTTCTTGTTGGTTCAAATCTGCTTCGGTTGGAAGTTGGACTCAGCCACCCTGACTTGGTCTCCGGTCCTCCTTTCCTCCTCCCGGTTCCTCTAGGTGGTTGATCCAAACACCTGCCTCGCAGCAACCCCTCGTGGGGACCCCTCCCCCACAGCTGGACGCCACCTACTTATCTCATCCCTCTTGTCCCCACACCCCACAGTGACTGGGTGGATCTGCCACAGTGACCCCCTTAGTCCGAGAGTGACCCACGGGGCTCGTGCCTGCTGGCTCCAAACCCACCAATAGAGCTCCAGGGGGAAACGTGCTTGAGTGACACCCTGAACCCCCATAAAGATGCTGGCCACCAGGTCCCTCCCTCCTCCCCTCTCCTCCTCCCCCCTCCCTGGTGGGTTGAGCGCTGTGTCCCTGATGGCTGCCCCTCCCATCGGCCCTGCAGGGGGCTGCCCTCTCCTCCCTGGGCCTGTGAGGCATCAAACTGCCTCCGCTGGGTCTTGCGCCTTGTGGACCTGCCTCCACTGGGTCTCCCCTGACCAACGCCCCGACCTGCCTTCTTTCCTGGCTGGAACTTACAGCCACTCTCAAGAGAGAGGCCTCAGGCTGATTCAGAAAGAACTGATATTTGCAAGACAGTGTGTATGTGTGGTGCGTATGTTGAAACCTCAGCCCTGAGTGTTGTTTATAAGCCACCCCGTCCTTGGTGTTCGGTTGAAGCCCCCACGTGGACTAAGTCAAGGGCACTCCCCATGGTTGCATGGTGTTTCGAGCTAAGAGTTCAAATGTTTTGAGAAAGGGCACATAGTGTGTGGATCACAGGCTTCCTGGCTTCACCCCTCTCCACTGGTAGATAGGGGTGTGCGGGTGGCCGTGGACTCTGACACACAGCTCATGTCATGCTGCACTCGCACAGACGAGAGACGCCTTGACGATGGGGTCTACACCAACCTGTTTCCAGATGTGCTGGGCACTCCGTGTGCGAGTGTGCGCAGGGTGGGGGTGCTGGGACGAGGGGGACGCCACGTGCGAGAGTGTGCTCAGGGGAAGGGGGCACTGTGACGAGGGGGGCTCCCCGTGTGCGTGAGTTTGCACAGGGCGGGGTGCCGGGATGAGGGGGGCTCCCTGTGTGCCAGTGTGCACAGGGCGGGGTGCCGGGATGAGGGGGGCTCCCTGTGTGCGAGTGTGCACAGGGCGGGGTGCCAGGATGAGGGGGGCTCCCTGTGTGCGAGTGTGTGCAGGGCGGGGTTGCCGGGACTAGATGGGCTCCCTGTGGGGGAGTGTGTGCAGGGCGGGGTGCCGGGATGAGGGGGGCTCCCTGTGTGCGAGTGTGCACAGGGCGGGGTGCCGGGATGAGGGGGGCTCCCTGTGTGCGAGTGTGTGCAGGGCGGGGGTGCCGGGACTAGATGGGCTCCCTGTGGGGGAGTGTGTGCAGGGCGGGGGTGCCGGGAGGAGGGGGCTCCCCGTGTGTCAGTGTGCGCAGGGCAAGGGAACCGGGACGAGGGGGCTCCCCATGTGCGAGTGTGTGCAGGGCGGGGTCGCTGGGAAGAGGGGGGCTCCCGGTGTATGAGTGTGCTGGGGGGGGTGCCGGGAGGAGGGGGCTCCCGGTGTGTGAGTGTGCGCAGGGCGGGGGCGCCGTGATGACTTTGTCTCTTTATTCATCCCCACGTATCTGTCACCATTTTAGCCGTGCAGGCTAGAAACACTCCTTGCTCCTGTCATGATCGTCTGGGCTCGGAGGAGCCGGCGTGTTACTCATCACCGCCCAGCCCAGATGGTATTTCATTCTGTGCTCGAACGGGCGTCCTCACTTCTTTGCAGGGCCCGCGAGTGCCTTAAAATTTCCATTTTTCAGGTCAAGCTGTTCTTGAATCAACCAGAAAGCACAGGACACACATATTTCTTAGTCTCTTCCGAACTGAGATGGATAAAGGAAGATTTTTTTTTAAAGAACGTATGCGTAAACTTACATTTATTTTAAGGAGAGAGAAGGAAGCACACACTCCTCCAACGCTCCTATTGCAGCTCATGTTTTACTAAATAACACTTTGCAGATGGCGGAGCAATGCCGGAGCTGCCTTGTCTCTGGGTGACATCGGGCCCAGGGCCTGCGCGTCTGGGTGGTGACTGTGGCCGGGCGGTGACAGGCGTTTGAAGGGTGGCGTGGGGTGTGGGTGCCTGCAGGAGAAAAGCACTGCGGCGCCTCCCCGCAAAGTCGGTTAGTGAGTCTGCTCCTCTAGCACCTACTCCACGCTCCTCGTGGGTCCATGGACTTCAGAGACGGGAAGGAAGGTCTCCGGTTCAGTCTGCTCACTTTCCAGATGAGGAGCTCAGCTCCCAGACGCCGGGGCAGCTCCGGAATCTGCACTCAGACCCCTTGACCCCGGGGCTCTTGGCTGCAAGGGTGGGAGGGCTGGAGAGGCCCTTCGCCTGTCTCCAGTCCCCTGGGAAAGTCCCCTCCTGTCCTGCGGGGAACAGTCGGGGGAGGAGGGCACAAGCAGGGCCTCCCCGGGGAAGGTGAACTGGGTGTCAGGGGGTGGGGGGCCGCCAGTGTCTGGGAGTGGGCGGACCCTGTCTGGCTGCTGGCTCACCCTCTGTGGCCCTTCTCCAGCTCTGGATCTCTTTGCAGACACCGGTCCTGGTGCCACCTGTCCCCAAGGTCCTGGGAGTTAGAGCGTTCTCCTTACCTTGCAACGTGGCTTCCACCTGTTTCCTCCCCGACACTCACAGTGCGGGCAGCGGCTGCATGATCTGTGGTGCAGCCTTTGGTTCCCCAGGACCTGCCGGGGTCAGCTGTGTCCCCATTCCTGTCAGTTCGGGGGCCACACCCCGGGCTGGCTTTGCGTAAGGAACGCAAACCAGAGC